TTGGAATATGAGAGAAGATAGAGATGAATCGATTGAAATAAGAAAGTAAAAAAATGATTAAAAAAACTATAAATAGTGGCATTATGAGAATATTAGTAGATTGGTTATGCCAAATAAGAAAATGAGTATTTTGATTTGGGACGACCAATTTGAAAATTGCGTCTTTTACTCTTTTTGTTTGGAACAGAGCAAATATTTCATATAAATTCTCAATTTTCCATCAAATTTAGTCACACACTTTTTTTTTACAATATTTCTCTTCGTTTCACTTTCATGTCCATTCCAATTTTTTTCAACTCTAGATAGAGAATTGGTAGGCTATAATTTTTTTAATCAGATTTTAAATACCTACTTTTTTGAAAACATTCTTTCATTAAATTCTTAAATTTAAATTATGCCAATTATTTCAAAAAATGAAATGCTACATTGCTACAAAAATCAAATTGGGACAATTTTTCAACCATACAACTTTCCGGGGACGAGATTATTATTTTTCACCCCTGGGAATATTTTTTTGTCCCGGTGTATTTTTTTTACCCGGCCTCCCAAAGAGGCCCACTATGGAAAAAGTTTGGCTTTCGACTGTTTTTCTTTTTCTTTTCCGTATTCTTTAGCGAAATGATAAAGTCAAATACGAAAGTAACAAAATACATAAATTTGTTATTTATGTATTTTTTTAATTATTTAAAATCATTTTATTTTTTGGGTGGTGCACAAATAGTAAAAATATGTATTTTTCATTCTTTAAATAAAAAATAAACTAGATCAAAAAATTTTTAAAATGGACAAATTGAGTTTATATTATTAAATGAATTTTTAGTTTCCACTTATCATTAAAATAGTTTTTCAAATGGCCAAATAGAACCAGTATCTCCCATGATTTGGAAAATCGGCACAAATATCCGTTCTGTTTTCAAAACTTATTTCTAAAGTCCTTGTGGTTTCAAAATGTTCCACCCACACCCCATGTGATCATTTTCCAGACATTTTTCCGGTGAATAAGGGGGCATTGGTGCCCATTTTCAAAGCGTAGGTGCTTATTTCTTATTTTTCATTTATTTTTTTGTTTTTCCCTTTTTTCCTTTTTTTTCTTTTATTAACCAAGAGTTTTTTAAATTTCTTTTTAAAAGTATTTTTAAATGTGCCTAAAATTTAAAATTATATTTGTTTGGAAAACGATAATTAACATATACTGCGATGCATTTGTACATCTTAAATTAACAATTTTTATTGTTTGTTTTCCAAAATCAAAAAGTAAAAACTTTTTTTTTGAACTTCAAAAAATGAGGAATAAACTAAGAAATAAAATAAAACAGGAAATAAAAGTAAAATTTGCATTATATAGAACTAAAACAAATGTCATTTTCCAATGTAGTACTTATACTTTTTTATTCCCTATATAGTACTTGGATAATGTGTAGTGGCAAGAACAATGTTCAGTGATGGTGGACATTTCGTTTGAACAATGTCCTGTGGCAGTGAATATTTACTTGAACAATAACCAATGGACAATGACCAGTAGTACTACATTGTTAAATTTAGACATATGCTATTATATTGGGAAAGTCACTATGTTTTAATACTATTTAGGTAAATTTTCCAAAATAAAAATGAATCCTTTTTGGACATTCCAACTCTAAAGACTTTTTTAGGCGATTTAAAAACTCTTTTTTGTATAAGACCCTTTTTTGCATGTTTCATTTTTTAGTTCATTTTTTCATATTTTTATTTTTATTTTTTTCTTCGGGCTATTTTTTGAACTTACCAAAAAAATTCTAGAAAAAAAGTAAAAATGTTTAATTTGAGATAGATGGAGCATATGTTACGGAGTATTTTTTTATTTTTATTTCAAACATAAAGAACTTTTTATCTTTAAGAAAATATAAAAAATTGAAAAGAAATTTTAAAAAACTTTTAGGGAAAAATATGAAATGAGCATGAGTGCTCCCTATATTTTAGAAATTAAGCATCAATGCCATCTCTTCGCCGGAAAATGATCAAAAAGGGTGTGAGTGCAATATTTTGAAACCTCATAAACTTTATAAATAAATTTTGAAAAACATAAGAGATATTGATGCCACTTTTTCAAACCACAAGGTATTATTTGGCCTTTTTCAAATAGTTTTGTCATGTAATAGTTCTTAAATCTATGTAGAGGATCATGAATACAATAGTTCTTCGAAATGGACTATACTGTATATAAGAATTCCAACGTTTTAAAGGATATTTTTAGGAAATTACTCTTGTAAAAATATGATTACTTTGACCAAAAAACTACTTTCCACATTTGCATTTTACTCGCATTTCAAAGGGGAAACAACAAGAATCCGATTAGATCGTACGAAAATAGCATTTGGAGATAGGATGTTTACGGATTTTACCCATATTCAAGAGTAGAGCGGTAAAAAAAGTAAAATTATGAAATTGATCAATAATTGTTTTATTTGTAATAATTACTCTGTACTTTATATATACTCCCTTGCTTCGTAGAAATGTTTCAGAGTTCAATCGACACTAGTCTAAACTTGTGTTTGGTTGAGTGGAAAAATTGAGAGAAAAATTAATAATGAAATAGGAAAAAACACTAAAGTTTGAGTAAAAATTTAAAATATGCTAAAATAAGATCTCCATGTTTTTATTCTTGAAATAAGAATTAATATGTATTTACATTATCAATCATGACCATGTACGTTACCAAAAAAATATAATAAAATGTCCACGTACAGTGTCACATTACCACAGTACGAACTCCTATTTAGTTAATAAAAACATAGAACTCCTATTTTGGTAATTTCTCAATATTTTACTCCTATTTAGGATGATTTCTTAAAGAAGAAATATTCCGTAATCCGTGTTAGACAATAATACTAATAGTACTTCTTGTAGTATTGGTTATGGTAGTGTTTCATTATTAGTGAGCTTTCTGATCCTATTTGTGGTATATGTTGTATTTTAGTTAGACTTCATTCTTTATTCCTAGTTGTGTTAGTAGTCTCTCCTATATATACTCTATCATGTACTCCATAATTCATTGAGCAATATTATTATTCCAATATTTCAACATGGTATCGGAGCCACCGCTCTTGGTGACCTAAAAAAAGATCTTTGCTCCCACGTCCCACTGCCGCCGCCGGTATTTCCGGCGACGGCGGCTCCACCTTATTCACATCTTTTTTTTCCCTTCTTTTATTCTCAAATTAACTTCTCCATTCAAAAAAAAGAAAAAAAATTCCTGTGTTGAAATCACAAAAAAAAATCCGTCAAAGGAGGAGCTTCCCTCTTGCCATCTCCATGTTCTTCAAAAAAAAACTCAACTCCTCACAAACTCTCTCAGATCATCCTATCTTCTCAAAAAAAAGGAAAAAATAAATGATTGTTGTTTCTCTCTAATTCACCATATCAAAATCTTAGACCCAACTTTTTTTTTCCATCACCAATTCTTAACCTACTTTTTCTCTCTAAAATCACTCATTCTAATCATCAACCTCCCTGCTCTTTCTTTCTGTTGAACCAATAAAAATCTAAAGTAAATCAGCACAAAACCAAAGCCAAGAGTGGAAGTAGTGAAAGAGGAAATAAGACCTCTATAACTCACCCCTTCAAAAAGGAAATAGGGCATTGCCCGGATCCAAGAAAAAAACAAAAAATGTCAAGGATCTTCACTCAAACAGGCACCTCCAGTAGCCTTCTCTATTCTTCTCCGACGTCAGCAGCTACAAGCGCACGCCAACCTTCTCTCTTCTTCATCGACGTCAGCAGCTACTAGCGCACGTCAATTTCTCTCTTCTCCAACGATGTGAGCAGCTACCGGCGCATGTCAGACTTCTCTCTTCTCAAAGTTTCCTGTTTCCAGCTAGTGTCCAAGCTTCCTCTTGCTTCAGCCAGAGTTCAGCTTGAGGGGGGATGTTAGAAAATAATACTAGTAGTACTTCTTGTAGTATTGGTTATGGTAGTGTTTCATTATTAGTCAGCTTTCTAATCCTATTTGTGGTATATGTTGTATTTTAGTTAGACTTCATTCTTTATTCCTAGTTGTGTTAGGAGTCTCTCCTATATATACTCTATCATGTACTCCATAATTCATTGAGCAATAGTATTATTCCAATATTTCAACAATCCGTATATGGGAAAAAAATGAAAATGAAAGAAATTAGATGGATTTTGAATTTTTTGTGGAATGCTTCCTTGATAGACCTTTGACCACAATATCACATATGAAGTCTACAAAAAATTGTGGACCTTAGGTCCACTATCCACATGACCACATAGCGTTTACCATAGTGGTTGAAAAAAAATCACATTACATATTAGGGAGATGCTAGGGTACACCAAAAGGTGTATCGCATTTGTACACCACCCCCTCCATAACTATTCATTTATTTTTTATTTTTATTTACTTAATTTTTTTTAAATTTCTTGTCTATTTAAGTGGTAATGGAGGAAGTGGGGGACAAATAGCATTTTCCTACATATTAATATGCCAACACTAGTTTCAACCATGTGTTTTAACAAGCCCATACATAGTCTAAAATTTTTAAAATATAAAATATTATTTAAATTTTAAAATACACTCATACAACAACAACTATTTTAATTTTCTAATAATGTACAGAATATCGCATATCTTACCAATTTAAAGTTACCATTACAAACATAGATACAATTAAATAGAGAAAAATCTTCGAAACACATTATACATTCCACCGCACGTTAGAAGTTTTAAACGCCTCATACCTCCTAAAATCCCAACACACCGCACATTAGAAGTTTGAAATGCCGCACACGTCCTAAAATTAAGCTTGTTCGTTTTTCTTCGAAATTAAGAAAAATACCGGAAGTGAATCGGTAAAATTTATGGAGAAAGATGATCAAACAATTTGAATGGCATATAGTTAATTTCATAAATGGAAAATGGATAACTTTATTTGGGAAGTATCAAAAGTAATATGAAAACTGATCTTTACCATGCCGGTCTTGTAATGTGTTTTGTGCAAATGTAGAGTGGAGGACCAAATTGGGAGGTGAAGCTGGGAAGGCTGGACAGCTTAACAGCAAGCCAAGAAGACTCAGACAACATAATGCCAAGCCCAAGAGCAAATGCAACATACCTCATAGACCTCTTCACCAAATTCAACCTCTCAGTGCAAGACCTGGTTGCCCTTTCAGGCTCCCATTCCCTTGGCAAGGGAAGGTGCTTTTCCGTCGTCTTCCGCCTCTACAACCAATCAGGGACCGGGAGACCGGACCCCGCCATGGACTATGAGTTCCGAGAGAAGCTCGACAAGTTGTGCCCCCTCGGGGGCGACGGGAACGTCACGGGGGACTTGGACGCGACGCCCGAGGTGTTTGACAACCAGTACTTTGTGGACTTGACTAGGGGACGAGGGTTTCTAAACTCGGACGAGACACTGTTCACTACCCCGAGAACCCGGGGGTACGTCCGGCTGTATAGCCGAGACCAAAAGGCATTCTTTGATGCATTCGTCGAGGGGATGATTAAGATGGGCGATCTTCAGTCGGGCCGGCCCGGAGAGGTCAGAAGAAACTGCAGAGTTGTCAATGGCCACTTGCCCCCAAGGAACTCCTTTGCTTCCTAATGAGGACATATCTTAATTATCTCCATTGTTGGTTTACTTGATCATCAACTCCATCATTACTTAGCTTGAATGGTGTCATTGGTGTGAGTGAATATTTACAACATGTTGAAGTTTTAATATTCAACGGTTCATAGTTCAAGTGTTTTACTCCATCAAACACGTCTAAAGGGTACTTCATGACAGTGATCTTTTATTTTATCAACGGTTGAGGTTTTATCACTTCAGAGTGCACAATTTGTTTTCTTTCGTAAATTAATTGTAGTACAAGAATGTTATACATCTACTCCATGTTAGTGAGCAATTCATAACTTCCAATTAATGAACAATTCGTTTCTACTTGGTGTACATGTAAATCTCCATTTGGTAAAACTACTAATCAATATAATCTCAAATCTGTCATTACACAGTAACTGCAATTAAGGCCACACTATTTTTGCCAAAGATAAAACGGAGGAAAGATAAAAATGTTCAAGTTGCCTCATATAATATATAGTACAGAAAGTATGAACAGTTCATGACTAATTTCCTGCGAACTGTAAACATATAAAATCACATCCAGCTAACACACCGCCAGACCACCACTAACTTACCTGGACAGAAGATATTACAACTGGAAGCAAAATAAACCACGATTTCCTGCACGAAAGCTATCCCGGCAAGCCTAATGTAGAAATGGTGAAGAAACGAAAAAAACAAAAACCAAACTTCTGCACATCCACTGAAGAGACTACGTTTTTCGTGACCACATAATATTTCTGTATTGTACTGAGCAAGAAGTTAGTATTTTCACTTCAACTACATAGCTCCACCAATTATGCCCCACTATGGGACTCAATTATCCTTGGCAACAACTGAATCAGTAAAGATGAAAAGAATCGGAAACGTTGAGATGATTGGCAAGTCGTCTGATGGTTGGTTGTACATATTCAGAGACTGGAGAGAACGAATCAGGAAGCTCCGGGATGCAGACAGGCAAATATTGGTCACTTTCTTCACGAAGGCAAAATAGAGCAAGCACAGCGCGACAGAAAATGAATCTGGTTATGAAAAACAGTGAAGTGCATCCATTAGATATTTTAAACATTAAAGAACTTGAATAAATATGACCTCAGTGAACACAACAAATAAAAGATTTACCTTAGGATAAGCCGGCGTAGAAATGGATCACACAATACCTGAGCCCAAACCAAGTCTAGGCTGGGGGTTGTGCAGAGCATTACCTCCCATTCGGAAAATGAAGTAGAGATGATAGCATTGACATCATTGTAAACATCCTGGGATATAACCCCACACATGAATAAAAGTAAACGGGATTCTCTTCAAAGAGTATCAGTTCTGCTATGAACTTACATAATCCTCGTCAGAAAATTTTAGGCCAATCAGTTGGCAGAAAGCCTGCAAGGGAGCAGTCAAAAACATGGTGAATTGGCTCCCATCCTCGATTACATCTGTGGTTGGTTTCTTATATGATGGCCTCAAAGGAGATAGAAGTAAAGCACATCTTTCTCCTCTTTCAGATCCTTGCAGAACCTGAACAGTGAGCTATAATACATCACGCAAATACGCAATGGAGATAATGACAAATGTTCTCTTCATTATATTAGAATTTAGAAATCATTTCACATAATTTGGCTGACATGCCCAACGAAAGAAATGGAAAGAAGAATGTGGTTGCCACAAACAGCTAAAGAGTATTTGGATATGTTCGCGCCAACGCTCCTCGTTATGAGCCTGAGATCTAAGAAAGAAGAACTCTGGCCTTATGGTGAAAGGAGCAAAATCGCATGAACACATGGAGGGGGAGGGTTGACCGGCAAACAAGGAGGATGACAGAATCCTTAATAGATAAGGCTCCCTACTTCCGAGTAGGGGCAAGGTCTGCGTACACACACCCTCCCCAGACCCTACTGTAGTGGGATTCAACTGGGTTGTTGTTGTTGTTGTTTGTATATAGAGGCTGACAATCCTAAACACCAAAGGAAACCTGACAATAAAATCTTACCAAATAACTAGTTGCTAAATAAAATTCCTAACCAATCATTAATTAATATGACTTGTGGATGGTGTCGTCGGTCTTGGTTTCCTAGCCCGGGATCATAATGGTTGCTTCAAGCATATCCGGCTTAGAGGAAGTTACAGGGAAAGGAAGGCGGAAGCTATGGCAGTTAAGGAAGCTTTGAGCTAGATCAAGTCAAAGGAATGGCCAAGGGTAATGCTCGAGTCGGATTGATTGAGAAGTGGCTGAACACCTCAATAGTTTTACTCCCTCCATCCCATTAAATTCCTAACAATTTGATTTCACGGGGTTTAAAAAACTTGTTAAAAAGTAAAAAGTGTGGTTAGAATTTATACGCGAAAAAAATTGATTGGTAGCCACATATTCATTACACAAATAGAGAATTAAGTGTGAAGTTTTTTTAGGGACATCCAAAGAAAGAAAGTGTAAAGAATTTTATGGGATGGAGGGAGTATTATTGATTGGTCTTATTCAAACTTGATTATTGTTGATTGTAGAAATCTTTATGCTCTTTGTTGCGAAGATTTGAATTTTTGTAATGTTTCTCGCTCTGCTAATGAGGCTGCACACCTGTTAGTGCGGGCTTCTCAATCTCTATAGACACTAGTAGGAGACTTCAACTAATACTAATAAGAAACTACTACAAATAGTATTAGTAAATTACTATTACTAAAATTAATAATAATTATCTTAAAAATAATAATAACTAATAATAATATAAATGATAATACGAATAATACTAACTATTAATGAAAATTCTATGATAATATTGATCGTATCATATTCACAATAAGCAGATAATCTGATACACAAAGTTTTGACAAACCTGCCTTGAATGCATGGCTGTTGTCACTATCAATAATTATGAAAAGAGGTCTTCGTGTAAATGGAATTAGATCTCCTGGATATAGGTTGTTCTGGACTGAAAATAGTCAAAAGCATGACAAATGAGATTTGTCAAAATTAAATAGACATGAACAGAAAAAGGATTTATCAAGCTATACCTCCATTTCTGCTAGGACCAAAGCTCAAAGAGTTTTCAGGGTGGCTATTTAGGTCTCCATTACAGCTGATATGGTTTTCATGCAGACGAGCCCGAGATAAGGCCACAGCAGGCTTTGAAGATCTTCTTGGATTTATAGAATTTTCCATATGTGATGGACTACTCTGACCATGGCTCCCTGAAAGCAAAGTCCAGATTTGAGTTTCCGGGCATGGTGAGATAACATTGACAGTTGGCTGTAAAGAAAAACAGAAAATTCAAGGTAACCTGATGCAGAGATGTATAATAGCATCACACTTTCTGGAGGAAGTTCCTCACATGTTGTGGCAATGACCTGCAACAGATAAGTAACCTGATGAAGATACAAATAAAGGATCTAGTTTAGCACTAAAGACGATATGCATCAAAAGAGGAAGAAAAAAAAATCTAATCAAGTGGATTGATTGATCTGGGATTCACAGATAATCAGGGACAAATTGACTTAATAATGATTTCCTTAGTACTTCATAAGAGTCCATAAATTCAGCATTCTCCATCAGAGAAAGTCAGAAACACATCAATTGATCAGAAAATAATTGGCCTTCCACTGGGGAAAGAAGTATCCTTGCAGGGTTGGTTCCTTAGGGAAGCCTGAAGCTCTCTTATTGTTTTTTTTGTTTATGTCTCTCTAATAAATTCACATTGATTTCTTAGCCATGTTTCCTCCTCAAAGAAGAAAAATACTGTTTGCATAAAAATTAATTCAAATGTATTGAAGTCCTAAAACAAATGCCAATCAAATCGGACTCAGAAATTTTTCAAGAACATGTGAAGTGAAATACACTGGCTGACTAGCCTCAGTTCAGATACTGGTATATACAGGAGTAATCAAAAAGCAAGAAACTCAAACATAATTCAATGACTCTGATTTGTACAATAAGTACTCATTCTTTGATCAGAATCATTACTCTCATTGGACTCAACAAAGTGATTGTGCTAATAATTTATAACATATCAAAAGGTAAAAGGTTAAACTTGAGAACTCACCGCAATCAATTGTGCCACAGAAGGGTGATAAAGCGTCACCTTTTTTGGATTTGAGGGGAGATTTGGATCCATCATGTCTGCAGCCAAATTCATACCAATCAGTCCAGAAGTCAAGGACTGGTCAATTGTTGCCCTGTTCTCTTGTGGTTCAATAGGTGTCTTCTGATAGAAAGACCGAGTGGGTTGCCATTCCAAGCATTGGAGCATTCTAAAAGTGTCTAGAGTTAGTTCTGCAAATTTGACCTGGGATGAAACCAAATGGACTATTTAAAACCAATTCTGTTTTAGATCTAATGTAAATGCAATCATTTCATTAATACCTCATTTTTATGATAACTTGTCAGCACTGCATTCTGAAACTTTAGGACCTTCTTAGCATGGAAGCGGGCAACATATGGTTGAGACAATGGATAAGAATCAAAAGGAGCACAATAGCGCAAGGGGCTAACCACTAATGAGCCAAAGTCCACCTCTGTGAATCGAACAATCTCGTTCACCACTAGTCTCCACTCTTTGAAGTTTGTACCCTGCAATGACACGCACAATTAGCCAAACAAACAAAAGCATTTGCACTATGCTTATGTATTTGAAACCCAAGCATCACAAACACACATGGTTTTATCTTGTGTATGTACATGCAAATGCAATGGCATCAAACCCTCTCTTAGCGACTGAGCTGCCCCTTTTAGAGCATGAGTTTCATGGTTCTGTACCCTCTCTACGTCTCTATGCATGTGCTCAACATGACACCATGTGTGCTATACTTAAAATGCAATTTATCAATCAATTTCAAGAAGTAAGTTCTTTTTAGCATAAATGGTTTAAAATGTCCACAAATACATAAAATATGAAAATTCAGACCACATTGTTTAGGCCAAGAGGAAACAAGTGCATACAGAAAAGAAGAGATCAACATGCTCACCTGCAAATTTACCTCACAGGCTCAATTTAAGAATAGTTTTAATATTTTAAAGGCAGTAAGTGGAAGTTGAAAAAGGACACAATAATCACATAACTGAAAAGCATTTTTTTAACATTAGACAGTTACATTTCCTTGAAAAAACATTAGATTGTTACACTTTTCTTGAAATCGTTGATAAATTTCAGTTATAACAGATGCCCTAATGATTGCACTTTAGCAAAATAAAAGGGGAAATCCCAAATTCAGCAAAACTGGGCTTAATGTCAACCCAAAAAGGCAGCAATTTACAGAAGCTGTTTGAAATTTCCATACCGGAAAAGCTGCTTTGCTATCATCCACGAGAGCCTTGAACCGCTCAACAAGCTGGTTCACCATATCATAACGGTTCAAAATCAATGCCACCATCAAAAACCTGGCGTAGAACCGCAACTCCTTGAACCGGACGCTGCGGTTGGTGGAGGAGCCGTCGAAATACTTGCGGTTAAGAATCGCCTCGTAGAAGATGTAGGACTCGAGGAGAAAGCGAGCCTCGCTGGTGCGCAGGTACTGGGTGAAGTAGAGCTGGCCGATCCGGGACGCGATGTCGCCGATCTCCCAGCGCTGCAGGCCGGAGTCCACCAGCTTCGACCGGTTCTCCTGCTGGTACTTCCACAGCCTCATGTAAGCCTTGAACACCTTGTGCAGGTAGTGCCCGGTCGCCGCGCCGCCGCCGTGAGCCGGCAAGTCCCTCACCCTAGCAAACTTCTTCTCCGCGCCGTCCACCAGCTCTCTGAAAGTCCTCGGCACGACGCCGTCCGCCGCCATAACATCACAACTCCTCCTCCGAGTACATCAAAGAGCAAAACTGATGCGAATGTGTGGGTGCGTCGGCAGACAGGGACAGAGGAAATTGAAGGGGTTTCAATGGTGGGATGAGGAAATTATGGCGACCTTTTTTTTTTGTTTTTTGTTTTGTTTATCAAAAGAGGAACAAAAAGAAATGGTTTCTTGTGGGTTGGAGGTTTTCGAGTTCGGGCCGGATTTACAGAGGCGGCGAGGAAGGTGGGTGAAATTTTATTTGGAGCGTCGGATTCGGGTTCAGGTGGGGCCGTTGGCAGACTGGCAGACGGCCAAGCGCCTGCATTGAGGTAGAGTCAACTGTCAGAACACAGGGCTTTTGAATCAATTGAGACTTCTTACAAAATTTAGGTTTGACTTTTAGTCAATGCTAGTGCACTAATTATTCATTTAAGGGGTGTATTCAATTTAGATTTTAAATGATTATTTTATACGTACTTTTTATAATCCATAGATTATGTAAGATTTATGAATTGTTTAAATTCTACGTAGATTTGAATATATTCTAATGCATTGGATTATCAAGACTTGTTAGAATTTGTTTAGATCTTTAAAAGTCCAAGAATCCTTTCTTCTAACTCATTTCTGAATCGAAAGACATCCATCAGAAGCAATGATGCTCTCACTCCCGGCAAGTTGATCGGACAAAAAATCAGACCTAACAACCAAGCTTGGGTGCAAAGCAATTCCAACAATGAAGGAGAAAAATCTCCAACATCTTTGAACAAGAAATTCTATCGGAAGATTTCAGCAAGAGACAAAGAAATCTTATCGGAATATTTTACCATTCAACAACCTCGAGCGTGGGTGTCAATAATGCACTAATAGATCTAGATAAGTGAAATCCACTATACTATTGAGGGAGTACTTGTGTCAAGAATCAAGAACTCACACGAAATTTCAACGTCAATAATTATATCACTTGTCTAAGCTTTCCATCTTTGACTTTGATTGTCCAATCAAAAAATGATTGTGTGCCCTATTTGTGCAAGAGGGTGTAGATGAATGCAATCTCATGTTCTTGGTCAATGTATAACTTTACAATACAACCATATTTTTTAGGAATTGAAAGAGATCATGAATAACCTTCCAGCGAGATGCAGCAGAAGTTGTGGAGGAGATGACCAGATCAGAGACTTCGTCGGTGATTGTAGAGAGAATTCAGCCTTGTTGAAGGGCGTCCAGCTGGAACCATTCATCGTCGTCGTCAGAAGAGGGGATGACGGAGCCATAGATGTAACCCTGGAGATTGAATCATCGAACGAGGAGAAGGACTCAACTTTTTGTAGTTGGGTTGAGAGAAACTGAGTTGAATGAGGACATGGAGTTTGACATTGGAGATGGTGGTGAAGGCAAGATGTGGAGATTTGGAGGAGTTGTTTTGAGAGGTGACCTTGCTTTCCGTCATTGTGATAGAATAATAGGGAAGGAGGAATGCCGGCGTCGGTCATAGAGAGGAGGAGGCTGAGAGAGACCGGCGGCAGAGGGAGGAGAAGCAGAGAGGGCCGGATGCGCAGGAGGGAGAGAGGGCCGACGCAGGTGGGGGAAAAATAGGGTTAGAGTTTAGTAGACTCTGATACCATGTAGAAAAGCTCTTTTCATTGATTAATTATGTGGAAATTACAAGTATATATACAAGAGGTCTCAATCCTAATCATAGTAGGAGAGACGTAATAGGAAGACAATACAATTATGGTAACAATATAATACAAGAATATTAATATATAAATAATATATTTAACAAGGAGAAACTTTCTAGGCTGCTCATAATTCTGAAAAAATTGGCCTTTAATTAAGTAAGAACAATAAAGAATTGGGAATCCAGGTTTAAGAAATAAACACGAAACTCGAAAAACATTTTCATTGGATTGATTTTGCTATATCCAGCCTCAGTTCAGCAAAATTGAACATAAAATTGGAATCCTTTGCTGAAAACGATCCAAAAGCTCCTAGAATCGCACCAAAACTCCAGAAAATCAAAAATCAAGAAGGAAGCAAACTCCACAAAACATTTTCATTCTTATTTGAACCAATGTGTGTGTGTGTGTATATATATATATATATATTTACATATATGTATGTATATATATGTATATATATGTAGATTTTGGTTCCTGTGAGAATAAGATCTTATGAAAGAGATAAGAATAAACCATGAATGTCGGATTTAGGAAGTTTATCTTATTTTTCTTTAAAATTCATAAAAATTGACAAGGGTAAAACAAACATTTCTATGGACAACCAAATCTAATCAATGCTAATTCAATCGTGCTCGTGATTTTAGCACCCATATTCCATATATTTTGCAAAATTCACGTTTCTTTTTTTAGTATTCCACATTTAATTTCCTCTTTTACATTGAAACAATCTGCACAAGGTCAATATAATTACTATGGATATGGCACTTCACGCGACCAAGATGAAGATGTCGATGGATAACCATAAAGCAAGATGTTTATAAATGCATATTATACACCATAGCTATGCATCATAGAGAGTTCAAGGTGCATTCTAGTCTAACGTGTTTTTTATCGCTACTAATGTTTAATCATTAATGAACAAACTCTTCGTGGATTTGTATTATTGTGCATTCTATGAATAAAGGTAATGCATTTCCATGGGCCAAATAGCTTCCATGCCCCCTGTGGTTTGGAAAATTGGCACCAATACCCCCTCTGTTTTCAAAACTTATTTCTAAAATCCTCGTGGTTTCAAAACATTGCACCCACACCCCCTCCGATCATTTTCTGGCCATTTTCCGGCGAAGAGGGGGCATTGACGCATAATTTCTAAACCACGGGGGGCATTCATGCTCATTTCTTATTTTCGTTTATTATTTTTCCTTTTTTTAAAATATCTTCTATCTCTTTTTCCTTTTCCTAGATTTTTTTAAAAATATATTTTCAATTTTTTATAACAAAAAATTGCTCTTGGGTACTCTCGGTTTTGTGATAAAAACTACCGGGTACCCTTATTTTTTAAAATATAGTCAGTGGTACCTTTCATTATTTCAAAACTTACTAGTAGGGCCCTTTCGTCAATTGCTCCCTTACTCTGTTAGTTTCTTTTCTTCACCATCATCATCCACATTCGTTCATCTTCTTCCTACTCCTCCTCCACATCATCAATCTTCTTCTTCTTCTTCTTCTTCTTCTTCTTCTTCTTCTTCTTCTTATCCTCCTCCTCTTCATTCCAATCCAGACACCCCACTCCTTCCGGGAAATCAAGGAGTAGTCACAACAAGACTTTCCAAAATCGCTCAATTGCTGCTTGCTTTCTAATATGAAAAGCAACACCAAAGCATCGGTGGCAGGCGACCAGATTTCCATGCTTTTCCCCCACCGATCGCAACAGTTTATGGTGATTCAACGCTGGGATTGCGGTTTCCTCGAGCAAATTCGCTTGCGAAAAGGACGTCGTGGCAAGAGCAGGATCAGTTTTGAATCTCAAATCTCAAATCTCAATTTCATTTCAGAGAAATTGCAACCGAGATTGAAGAAATGTAGAGTAGAGAGCCGTGTCCAAAGCTCACCGTGCATAAATTTCCGGCCAGCAGCCGAGCTTCTCAGCATCATCGCGGGACACATAGGTAGGGGATGGCGCAAATGAAGGAGACGATCTACCGCGCGGCAGCTTTCTGGCTGTTGAATTTCAGGGCGGTGAAGATGATAGAATGCGAGTATATCGACGGATCCACAGACGCTGCACAGAAGCACCGTGAGAGGATAAGCGAGCGGAGTAAAATGGACACCGCCTCAATGTTTGACGAAACAGCAAAACTATCTCTCAAGTATCTCCGATCTCAAGTGAAACCATTAGAACGCTTGAGCCAGAAGAAGATCGACATCTCTTAGTTTCAACCCCATGCAACTAAATTTCTCCCTCCATTCCCATAATCCCATTCAACCAACGCACCAGCAGTTGACACAGAGTACATGGAAAGTCAATCAGATCAATGGGGGCAAAGTAGAAGAAGAAGAAGAGAAAGAAGAAGAATAAAGAGGAGGAGGAAGAAGAAGACGAACGAATTGAAGAATGAAGAAAAAGAAGAACAAACTAACAGAGGAATTGACGGAAGGCCCTATTGGTAGGTTTTGGAATAATAGAAGGTACCGGGTAGTATATTTTTAAAATTAGGGTACCTCGTAGTCCTTATCACAAAACTAGAGGTACCCGGTAGCAATTTTTTGTTTTTATAATGTTTCAAAAATTTTAAAATTTGTGTTTGAAATAAAAATAAAAATAAAAAAATTAACATACATTAAATCTATATCAAATTAAACATTTTCACCTTCTGTTACTTAGAATAATTTTTTAAAAAGTTCAAAAAAAACCCAGAATAAAAAAATAAAAATATGGAAAAACGAAATGAAAAAAATTAAAATATGCAAAAGAAGTCTTATACAAAAAAAATTACACACGCCTAAAAAAGTACTTAGAACTAAAATGTCCAAAAAGGATATTCATTTTTATTTTTGTATTATTTTGTTTCTTATTTTATTCCTCATTTCTTGAAATCTCAAAAAAATTTTATTTTTTTTCAGAAAAAACAAAAATTATTAATTTGAGACGTACATATGCATTATATCTTAATTTTTTCTAACAAAAGTAACTTTAAATTTTAAGAAACATTATAAAAAAATCTTTATTAATAAATGAAATAAAAAAGGAAAAAATGGAAAAAAATCTAAAAAACAAAAAATATGCAAGAAATAAAAATTAGCACTGATACCCCCTATGGTTTAAAAAACATGCACCAATACCCCCCTCCTTGCCGGAAAAATGGCCGGAAAATGATCAGAGGGGGCACGAGTGCAGCATTTTGAAACCATATGAACTTTAAAAATGAGTTTTGAAAACAGAGGGGGTATTGGTGCTTGTTTTGCAAACCACGAGGGGTACCGGCGCTATTTGGCCCATTTCCATGATAAAGAATTACATTCTTAAAGTCGAGGTAAAGGATTATTGTATATTCTAAGAACCAAAGTGGACTTTTATCTATCAGATGGTGAAATTCTCATTACACAATTATGATGCATTGATGTATTCTAGATAATGAAAATTTTGCAAACGATGATGCACCAAAATGTAATGCATTCTCACGTTTTCTCCTCACACAAAAAGTCAATTAGTAGTCAAAATATTACTCATTAATCAAAAAATTAAGAATAAAATTTGAATAAAATCTAAACGACAAATCACATCGCATATATCAACCATCACATTGCATTGGAAAAATTGGGATATTTAAAAGCATCCCATAAAAAGATGATATTACAATATTATTTTATCAAATGAGTAACAAAAATAAGTAAATAAAAATGAACAAAAGGAATAAGATGTCAAAAAAATAAAGTAAATAAAGTTTAACTTTGTAGATAATAAATATGTCATTTCAATTAGGACAGAGAAAGTATTCAATATTGGTATCGTTTGGTAGATCTTGACGAGAGATTTCTAACAACATATTATTTGTTAAAGACGGACTTGTGTACGAAAAGTTATGTGTAAATAAGCATTATAGTGGAATAAGAAAATGAAATTAATGTTTTAATGTAATACTACCTCCGTCCCACTCTCTTTGTCCACTTTTGAATTTTGGAACTGTTCATCTAAACACTTTGACTCATCAAATTATCTCAATGTGTAAGCCTAAATATAGTCATGTGTGATCTAGTTTGATTTATCTTAACATATATATTATTACTATATAATTTTTTAATATATAAATTACAAGATAAAATGGATTAAAGAAGTGCATTAGATGGTATGCTAAAAGGTAAGTGGACAAAGAGAGTGGACGGAGAGAGTAAAATAGAAAGTGCAACGCATGGGGGGAGTTTTATAACGTTAGATTCCATATCTAATGTAATTTTATTTTTCCGTTTATACCCTTATTAACTACTACCACCCTATTTTAAAGGAATATAATTAATACTTAACATTTTGATTAGTCGCCAACCATTAAACATGATGTAAAATCGTGGCTGTTGGAATGCATGAGTTCAAATCTTTCTGTGTTGTTTAGTGTTGATTCACAGGTTTTGATAATTGACAAACACAATTTATTCAAGTCAAGATTAAAGTGCTACAACGATAAATACGAAGACTTGAAGTGTCATTCCTTGAAGTATTCAAGAAGGTGCACAAGATTTTGTTGAAGTCCGAGACGCGTCTGGAGCGCCTAACGGAGGACTCGGAGGAGTAAAAGATTTTCGAAGACTTTTTATTTATTTGAGTCTTAGCAATTATTGTAAGGATGACAAAAATATATTCTCTCCAAAATTATTTTTATGAGAGTCAAAATAAAAATTATATTTATTTTTGGAGTCAGTTGAAAAATCTTTTTAACCGTTCAAAATAGTTTTATTGAGTCAGTTACAAAAAGTGTGTCAAACATTTATCAAATATTTATTTTGATATTATAAAATATTTTTGGTAAGCAAAAATATTTTATTCAAATATTTTTCGTGTACATCATTTGACACACAAAATAATTTTTGGACTCACTTTTACTCCCTTATTCAAATTCATTGAATAAGAGAGAATGAGCGCTCCCTGATTCTTCTTGTCTCAAACAACGAGTTTGAGTCAATTCGTTCTCAATCGCAACTGGCCTTGGGCCCTTTGTTTTTGCGCATTATTTCCTTATTAATCGATTAATCTTCCAAAATTAATCGATTAACTGCTTATCGTTGGATTACCCTGGGCTGGAACATTAATCGATTTTTGCTCCTCTGTTAATCGATTAAGGCTGGCAGAGCTGACTAATCGATTTTTTATCTTCCTTTAATCGATTATCCTTTTCCTCGCAGACTCCATTAATCGATTTTTGAAGATGCTTTAATCGATTTTTTATGATGCATTAATCGATTATGGTGATGCACTAATCGATTAGTGCGCTGCATCTTTTCTTGCACAGCTTCTTTTCCTGTACCAACGGATATATTTCTTCAACTCCTATTTAAACACATTTCCTTGGTCATTTTTAAGAACAATAAACACTCCAATACTTCTCATTCTTGAGGTGTTAATCCTCCATCAATCTTTCCTCAAATTTATATCATTTTGAGAGAAAATTATTTGTTTTCAAGAGAGTGTTCTTGTCATCCATAGAGTTTTAATCATTTCTCATTTCTACTCTTTTGAGAGCTATTGTTGAGAGGTTGAAGAAGATTGTTCTTCTTGTTGTTCAAGACTTATGTGACTTAAGTCTTGGTTGTGAAGTCTTGTAGAGGGCATATCTACGAGCGGTTGTGTCGAGGCTTGTGGGATTCAAGTTCTCGAGTTGTAAACGGTTTGTTAAGCACCCGTAAGCTTAACGGAAGTAGTGGTAGCTTCGAGAGAGTCTCTCGGGGAACTGGACTAGCCACGAGGTGGTGAACCAGTATACATCGGTGTGTTCTTTGCCTTCTCTCTTTTATTTCCGCTGCACTTACGTT